AAGGAGCAGAGCCATGGTAAGCATTTCTTTTTGGATTTTTCGAGCTGCGAGATAAAAGTTTTCGTGAATTTTTTCAAACAAAAAATAAAAATCATGCAGTGTAGAATCTAGTAATTTCGGCACTATGTGCTACAGGCAACACCTGCATTGCAAAAATGCTTATAGCTTACATTTCCAAACTTCGCTCTCTACTGCCATTTTTTACGCGCATGTGTTGTTGGCGACGTGAGCACGCTGTACTAAAGGCCGTCCGCCAAAAAGAGTAGTGGGATTTCGACGCTGTATAACAGGGGGCCCTGATTGAGTTAGGGAGCAAATCTTGTGCAAAACTTAGATATTGAAGGGAGAAAATTGCTCCAGTACGTATCTGCGGACATGTCAGTCCCGCCCATCAAAGGATGGTCTCAAAGAAATTCTGATAGATTGGGCTTTAAGTAACTGGGATTGTTGAAAATATGATTTTTATGATGGAAGACAATTTGCTAATATGTCTAGCTGTGAAACCCAATTGAGAACAAAGCACTTTAGGACCACCTACATTGATGGGCGGGGCGATCGTGTCTAGGGGTATCTTCAAAAGCATTTTTCTTGCTTCAGAATTCATGTTTTGCAGCGGGACTTGGGCAATTACTTATTTAGGGGCCCCGCTATCGTTACACGCCAAAACCTCGCCTCAATTTGGATGGGCAGTGACTTTAATCGTAAATTTACTCGACTATACATATTGCTCTTCAGGAACGCAGCATGCTCCGGGCCCCGAATGAGTTACAAAAAGCTAATTTTCAAAGCGAAAAGTATCGTCTTACTCGACTCTATCATCGCTTCGACAGTATAAGTCGATTTTTATCACCTGTCGTTTTTATTATGTTTTTCATGTATTATGTGTTGTTCATAGCTCAAGGCGATGATCGTGGTTGTGTATCAAAATAAAACAGATTCATTTGATTTTTATCCTGTTCTATTGAATCATATATTAGAATATTTACAGTAGCCTACTTTTGAAGACATTCAAAAAACAAAAGAATCAAGTATAACACAGAGGTAAACTAATGTGGCAAGTGAAAAGATGGCATGATTGCATGCATGAGCAACTCCGGCGTATTTCAGCGACTCGTCTTCGTGTTTTGTTTTCTGGAAAGAGGAATTTTTCCTCAACAAATTATGGGAAAAATCAAACCTTTGGCAGAGGTAGTATCCTGTCAACAATTTGTATAAATCGATCCACACTATGAGGGGGTGGAATATCTGCTGGGGTGGTGGCAAGTCGTTCCAAAATTAGGGTGACGACAAAGAGAGCT